GTATGTACTACGACATCTTAATCATTTCGTTAACAATAATGTAAAAATTTCCTGCCTCTATTGGTCTTATAGTTCTCGATCTTCAAACTTCTAATGTGTAGAAAACTCGATGTCCGGAACCGCCCCGGACCCATTCACTACTCTCTTAGATGAGGGTCCTATTCTTTCTTCGTTCATCAATGAAGGTGATCAGAGCCGTGGTTCTATGTAGCTAACCTATGCCTAGAGTGAAGATTTATAATATCGACATAACGAGTATTATTTATTTCAAGAGAAATAGTCTCGACAGTTCTAATATGGATGTTAGCGTACACATCTGTGTGCTTTGTGCTTCTCCCAAAATCGAGCATCTTTGTTTCTGACGTGCGTCTTAATAATATACATGTACGAACAAGAGGTATTTGAAAACAGTATGTTTGAACATGGTTACTTGAATGTTTATAAGCTCTCATGCCTTCTGATTTTGCCGTTAGTTCTTCGAAGTGCATCCAAACTTCAACAATTTTTTCTTCGTTTTAGTTCCAACACCATTATGCCGACCCTACACCCAATAGGAGAGGTCGTTAAGTAGAGTATGGATCGGATGCACATCGCACCAAGACTGATTTCACCAATGGAAGGCACTGTAGTTCGGCTAATTACGCTCTTGACCAAAAATCGGTGAAGCCTATAACTGCCTGTAGGCACCTACCAACTCCTAAATCCCTTGCACCACTACTGTTTTCCTTAGAAATACCAAGATTGTGAAGGGGTGTTCCTCTTCGATCACTTATGCCAGAGTTGAGCAAATGTTCCCGAAACAGATATTGAAGAAAAAGAAGTTAATTTTTCCTTGCAAATGCTCATATCTGCAAAGGATTTCACTTTGTTTTCAAGGGTTTTTTGATATTGGGATGTTCGGTAGAAGTTCTCTACGGGGGATTGGCCAATTCTTTGGATTTGTGAATTGACCCGCCCTCATACTTGTTTCTCACATTTGCCAGCCTTATGATATTCTTAGGCTCTAAATGTTTAATTTACCGGAATAATCGAGAAAGATTTTGTTTGTTTCTGATAATTTCAATATAACACATGGTAGAATTGCTATTGCACCTCTCCTGCCAGTTCTCTTCCTGGAAACCTGTTTATCTATGAGGCCATAAGTTTGCTCATGCCCACGTCTACCTATACTCTATCTTCTTTGATAGCTACAGTCGAGTAATAACAATAGTCAATAGCAATAGCAACATCCAACTTATCTAGACGCACTGGCTCAAGTAATTAGACTGCTTCTATTTCCATCCATGGACCATATCTGTGGATTTCGTCTGGCTTTAGCGGAATGTTTGTGTTGATTTTGGCATTTATTCGAATTTTACAAGCTTGAAATTAAAAATACATGTCATAGGCCAAACTCCACAAATTCTCTATCAACTTGTGCAAACATATACGTTAAAAGTCTTCGCTTTCTCCTCTTGATTATCCATATTTTGACCGAGAAAGGAGCATCCTCAAAAAAAAAGAACTGCTTTTGTTAATGTTAGATGCCACATAGGCAGGATCCGAGTTGTTCGAACAAACTCATCCCTACTGCAGCTTATAACTGATCTTGCAAAAAGTTGTTGTTCTCTTTTTTACCTCTACTGACCTTCGGCATCGGCTCAATGATTCCAATAGAATTGCTCATCCAGGGTCAAACTTTTGGGACTAAATTGAAGTTGCGTTGTCTTGGAACGAAGGACGAAGGTGTACTATTCCTTTTGTGATTCGTATATTCCAGGAAAGCAACTGAAAACTTAACTACGACAAAAAAAACGCAAAACGCTTTGACTGACAATGTATTATGACCGCGCAAGTGTTTAAACAGCTCTATACATGAGAAAAGTATGTGTTCAGAAACAATCAATAGGTGTTTGGCGATACTATAGATTTCAGGTAGATGAAGGCACCTTTTGAGAAAATTCCTCTCTGAAACAAGAATCCCGAAAGCTTAGAAACAGTCGGAAA